CCGGACTATTTCAACACGTTGCTTGGTTTGTTGCTTCGTCGCTTGTTTTGGTTCATGTTCTTGTTGGTTGTTTGTTGTGGCTTTTGCTGAAAGCGCTTGTGGTTATTGTCGTTGCTGTTGGTCTTTGCTGATTGGTGCCTGTTGGTTGGTTTGTGGGTTGCTTGGCCGAGCGACCGAGTATGGTGGGTTGTTTTGCCGCAGGGGTTCAACCTAAAATGTGATTTTGTGGCAGGCGCGGGTGTGGGAGATGAAGTGCAGATTTCGTGGGTTAGCAGACCGCAGCCACGTAAAACAAGTGCATGTTGAATGCAAAGCAAACAAAGAGACTGCGCCGGCCAGGGGACCTGGGGGGGGGGTGGTGACACGGAGTCAGAACAACAGTAGTGCTATCTCAGTGGCAAACAGCACAGAGACAGTAAGCTTTTTCCACGCGCCCAGTCGAGAGGCGAAACACCGACGGAGAGGGGGGGGGTGACCCGGAGGCGAAACACAGACGGAGGGGGGGGGGGGGGGGGCCCCCGGAGGGGAAACACAGGGGGGGGGGGGGGGGGGGGCCCCCCCCCCCCCCCCCTGGGATTGTTTGGGACGGCTAATGGGGAACTCTCGTGATTTCTTGGAATGCTACCAATTCTTTTGCGTAGAATGACAGCCGTTAGTGGTGTCCAAAAGTTGCATCAACCGAACTTGCCGCACCACAAGGGGCTACCAGTACCACTTATTGACTGCAGCCAGCATACCCTGTCCAGTAGAGCAAGTACTGTATGCCACCGTCCCACCTTGACTTTTGTCAATCACACGCCACGCTTTGTCTTTCACAGATGCCCCGCCGTGCAATTAAACTGCAGATTTCTGTTCTGAACAAACTTGCAAATTTGCGGTTGCAATGGGTATATATGGTGCGACAATATTGCTGAACAAATGCTCGCGTCACAATTGCCTAGCAATGATTGCATTTGTGCAAAAACGTGCCGCCTAGCTAAAGCGTGCGAAGGCTAAAAAGTACAATGCATTGTTCAGCAGCCAGCCACCAAAGAGCTTGTTTCCATACAGGGTAGATCTTTTGACCCCACCTCATGCCAAAACCACCTCACAAGTCTCAGCATACATATGACTGCAGAGTGTCAAATTTTTTTTATTCACCTTGAATGTTTTGGGTCTACCACGAGTTGATTCTGTTTCGATGTGCTGATGCATGGCTTACCTAGCCGAGGCACATTGATGCGTTGACGTTGGCAGTTTGCCTGGTTGAACATGGCCTTGTTGCAGATTGGAACGCTGTGAACCCTGGCTGTGCAATTGAGCCTGGCGACCGGCTTGTGTCAGTCAATGGGCTTTGCCATCCTGAGCTTGTTTTAGAACAACTTTTTGGAGAACCATCGCTTCGGATTGTTGTTGAGAAGAGGGGCGGCTTTACCGGGGCCTTGGTGCCACATTGCAAGTTTTCAGTGGAGCTCCGAAGAACAGCTTTGGAAGGTTTTGGTATGGATGTGAGCCCTGACACCATGGAGGTGCTGAATTTACAAGATGATGGAAAAGTAGCTCTTTGGAACCAGTGTCACCCATTCCGAGCCATCGTGATTGGTGACAGGATTGTGGAAGTCAACGGTGCCCACACTGCAAAGCATGATGTATTTGTTAGCGAACTGAATCTCGAGCTTGTTGTGGTCAGGGGATCTAGCATAGCCATGTTTGGAACTTTTGGAGTCACACTGACAGTTGCCGGTAGGCTTGGTTTTGGTGTCAGCCCAACGATGGAAGTTGACAAGCTGGAGCAGGCTGGAGCTGCTCAACAGTGGAACGTCTCAAATCCCATCAACAAGCTACGGTTGGGTGACAAACTGATACAAGTAAACTCTAAAATCAACCGTACAAAAATGCTGTCAGAATTGAAAGGTGGACGAGTCTTGAAACTGATAGTGGCGCGATCTGAAAGGCGAGTTGATAGAAATAGCTGTGCGCTCTTTACATGGAAAGAGTGTCAAAGGGAATGGCCGAAGGATGCCGACCAACGCTGGAGCGCAATGGCTTTGATGAGTGGGGCATCAACGCAGGCAGGGTTTGCACAGTGTGGTCTGTGGGGCAATGATGGTGTGTGATGTTTAAGATTAGCAGGTGCCATTCTGCCTGTCCCCCAGTTTAATACCTCCTATGCCGAGGCAACCAGCTCCATGCTCGCTGCTTCACACAAATTTGCCGTTGAGTTGACACGAACACAAGGAGAACAGTGGGGCTTTGAGGTGAGCGAGGACATGCAAATTAAATGCGTCAATGATGCAAGTGTCCTTGCGATATGGAATTGGTGGCATGCTTCTCGTGCAGTCCTTCCAGGTGATCAACTTGTTGAGTTGAATGGGCTTTCTCAAAGCAAGGCAATTCTGGACATGTTAAAGGGAAGCAGTGCAATCAAGATGGTTTTGACTCGTCATGGAGCCATAGCATCAACCTTTGGTGTCAAGCTAGCCAAGACCATGGGTACAAAGCTGGGTGTCAAACTTAGTGAGGATTTGGAAGTCCTTCGGATTGATGCTTTTGGGGCTGTTGCCTCATGGAATGTGTCCAACCCACTCCTCAGCATCCATCTTGGTGATCGTATCTTGCAAGCTGCCAAGTTGGTGAGCCCCGACAAAATCTTTGCCAGTTTGCAGTCAGAAGGCGAGCTCGACTTGTTGGTCGGCAGGGTAGAGCGGCGCCTCGATGCTTCAACCGGTGGAATTTGCACATACAAGGAGTGTCAAGCAGCTTATCCTGATGCAGATTTGCGATGGGCGAACATGCAACGTGTGCCGGACACTCCTGAAGGCTTTCCAGCCACACAGTACGCAGCTGACACGGATTGTCATTTCCTCGCGTACGGGGCGCCGAAGGGTGAGAGCAGGGATTTCTTGGCGAGTGAGTCCTTTTACAGGACGCTTTCACTCCGGTGTTGCAGTCATTTCCATGTTTTTCGAAATGTTTTGTGGCGTTTGGTGCGCTCCAGGACCTTGGCGGACAGCCGTGTGCCGCAGCACAGCCCTGGCCGCTCCTTGGCACGCTTGGCAACACCTGCCGCGCTCCCGGAGACAGTCGCGACGCGATCCTCTTTTTGCTGTCCATGTTGCAACTCGTCCTGGTTGTCATGTTTCAGCCAGCCCGATTTTTTGCGCAAGATTGGAACTTCCTGAGTTTGAAGTTACAGCTTGTTTGTGAAACATGCCTGTCTGCATGGAACTGTTTAGTTTGTATTTACTATATAGCCTTAGGTGACTATCATTGCCATTGTCACGCAGCCTTGATGGCTTGAGGACATGTACAAATTAGCTAATTTATTGGCGTCTTTTGATGTCTTCATTCTGAGGCAATCGCTTGTTCCATGTGTTTCTGAATGACGGAGTGTACCAAGCAGTGGCAGCGACGGGGGCTTTAGCTGGCATTCAACTGAAACCTCAGCAGGATTGGCTTCTTAAGGTTGGCAGCCCAGATGTTCACAGTTGTGATCATTGATGCAATAGCACACATACACACATGTATGTTTGTATGGTATGGTATGGTATGGTATGGTAGAGTATGGTAGAGTATGGTAGTATGTAATGTAATGTGATGTGATGTGATGTGATGAGATGTGATGTGATGTAATGTAATGTAATGTAATGATGTATGTTATGTTATGTTATGTTATGTTATGGTATGGTATGGTATGGTATGGTATGGTATGGTATGGTAATGTAGTGTAGTGTAGTGTAGTGTAGTGGTATGTATGTATGTATGTATGTATGTATGTATGTATGTATGTATGTA